ATTTTAAAAACATCATAACTAAAGATTTTTAGAGTGCTACTACAAGAATATCGGGTTTGACGTGTGCAACATAATCTACATACCAGACACATATCAACGATGTAGATGTTGATAATACGAAGAACGTGACATTGTGTTTTTAAATGTTAAGTTTTAGACTGGGTTCAGTGTGGCAGCAACGTTAAGAGTATACACCTGATGATGGCCGATAGAGGCCGAAACATGTAGTGTAGAAAGAACAAGATCAAAGACATATAAATGTATATTGTTTGCACTTAGGACGGAATTTGTATCATTTATCGTGTAGAGTGCAACAGGATGCTTAAATATAACATTAAAACCTACTGGGACAGCTGGTACCCTGACCATGATTCAAACCATTCATGTCTAAAATACAAGTTAGAGACACTACCTTTTGAAACAACTTGCTTGGTACCCTCACCTGTTCTGCATCCTGCTTTTCTTATAATGGAACACCTACAGTTGAAAGAAGTAAACACTCTCCAAGAACTGTTACAATTTTAATTATCTGCACCAAACAGCTTTCAACACATCCTTATTTGTTAAGTTCAGTCACTAACAGACTCTCTGACATTAAACAATAGGTGTAATCATACTCACAGCATTGGTGTAAATCACTCCCATATTTGCAATGATGTTCTGTGTCTTCACCAAAGGTGTCTGTAATATAAAATGATGGTACACCAACACCATCTGTGAGTAATTCTGTAGTTCATCATCCTGTTGCAAATCTTTAACCAAACGTTTACGTATTCACAGTCCGGGTACAATGCAACAATTGTTTCATTCACCCTTTAACACTCAAAACATGTTTTGGCCATAGATGGCCATCTTCAGGTGTGTTAATTCGTCCAAATGTTACACTGTTCTGAAGTGCACTAACATCGCGTTTATTTATATTATTTTAAGTGGACTGCAACTACTGCTCCAGTACCTCACTGTTCTGAGTAATGATGCACCTACCCAGATGGAACTAAGCTTTAAGAGTGAAAAAAAAAGTATGTTTTGAGTCAAGAACACTTATGTTCTAAATGCAAAAACTTACTCTTACTTACTTACTCATGGAGCTGAGCCCTTCTTCAGGAGCCGCCAATTCTGCAGCTACTCAAGAATTTCCCAGCATTTTATGGAACCCGAAGGTTCATCACCGTGTTCACAAGAGCCCTCCACTGGTACCTATCCTGAGCCAGATCTATCCAATCCATACCATCCCATCCTATCCTATCTCTCTATGATCCATTCTAATATTGTCCACCCACCTATGCCTTGGTCTTCCCTGTGGTCTCTTTCCTTCTGGCTTTCCCATCAATATCTTATACATATTCGTCTCCCCCATTCGTGCTACATGACCTGCCCACCTCATTACAAAAATGTGTTCACCTTAAGTATTATACAGAAAACCCCACTGTTCAAGTGTACATTTTACCACCTCACTTCAGTACTGTATATGAGAAAATTAAACAAATTTGTAAATACATTATGAAGAGAAAAACACAAAAATAACTGGTACATATTACTTTGCACCATTTGCAGGTGCAATCATACCCATTTAAGGTGAGCAGTAACTGCACAATAATGCACCTGACAAGGTCTCTGCCAATCTATTTATCATTTAAAACATGTCCCACTCACATCTGAGTGTTTTCGTTACAGTCAAGGAAGAGAGACTTGGCCCATCCAGATAGACTCTAAGTACATGTAAAATATATCTACAAGACTGAGTAAATGTAACACCTGTAGCTTTCATCTATAGAATAAACATGAGAATACAGAATATGCCCTTTAATGGACAAATGACTGGAAATTACTTCCCTGCGCACAAACTGTACTGTGATTTCGCAGTATTGATAAATGTGCGAATGAAGACTACGTCCTTTAAACTGGACAGTACTGCCTTAGGCACGAACTGTGATGTGATTTCACTGTAATGAATTCACTTCTTTTCATACAATAAATATGTGTAATCCGTGTACTACCATATGATGGGTGGGAGAATAAGAGACAATATATTAACATATATATAACATTTTATTTATTTCTATAATAATTATGTTCACATAACTGTTTTTCCCTTTCTTCTTATCCCCTATTCAATTCACTTACGAGTCCACCCAATGTAAGGTCCTGGTCATCAGTTATAATGAGAACAATGTTGGTTTGACTGCAAGATCCAGATATTGTCCCTGTTGCCATTAGAGCCAAGAATGGTACTAAGAACAAATTCTCCATCACTGATGTTAGTTTCCTGCAATCTTATTGTGGGACTGGAGGCATTACATCCATCCCAATGCACTCTCTGGCAATACGTACTCCTAAAATGAAAAGGGTGAAACTCTTCACCAGTGACCTGTTAATTAAAAAACATAAAACCAAATTTTATGTTACTTCAACTATAATCTATAAATTTCTGGAAACATATTCATTATGAGAATTCATACCAAGCGCCCAAGAAAATATCTTCCACTGGTCTACGGATTTTGTGAATATTGTCACATTTTTGAAGTAGGTGGCAAACAGCAAATCCTGGTACAGTAATTAAATCACGAATAATACAGACCACACCCCCAAAAGGACATACATCATGCTACACCAATGCTTCAGCCCTTAATCTCAAATATGAACACCTTCCATTATCTCAATTATTTCTCCAAGAACATATATTACTCCTTGTTGTCACATTGGCCCTTACTTCAAACATACTATATTATATGTAAACTATACTACACTACAAAGAATGCACAAAGACCATTCAAGCTTTATATTAACCACTGTATGGAATTATAATTTGGCTTAAGCTAACTACGAGGGTGCATGCAGAAGAGGAATAAATGTATAGCATAAGAGTATAAAGGGCCCAATTAAATAAGACCTGAACTAGAAACTTTATCAACATACGAAACATTCTGGAAATGACAATGCCTTTGTATGTTGTGACAGGCACTATCTGTTAATACATACATCAATGTAAAATTAAGTCATATCCAATCTAAACTATTGACTTTTAAATATTTATATATTTTTATAATCTTTGGCTTGCAGTGTGGATGCCTGTGTATTCCATCTGATGATGTTCATTTTGTGGTCAAAACATGTAGCATTTGAGTAAGAATATAATATAAAGCTTTTAGATATATGTTTGCGTGATAGTGGATCTCTAACCTTGAATTAAATCAACAAGGCTATAACAGACCACTTGAAGTATTGTGATGGAGCTAGGAGGGATAATATTAATACAGACACGAAGAAAATGTGTTTTAATACTGCAAAATGAACTGAACTGGCTGGGATTTATCTCAATAGTGCTGGAAGTTTTGGTTGTAATAACAGAGAAAAAGTAGTAGCCTAATAATTTGAACTTTCTTAATTTTACACCACATTGTTTATTGTTTATTGTTATTAAATAACTCCACAAATCCTGTACAGGGGCTTTAGCACCCATAGGATATAGAGCTCGTCAAACTGATACCACATGATGAAACATCTGTTTCCTTTTTCATACCAGGTGGACTGTTAACCTTTTAAAGTTTACATTTCTTCTAAAGTATATACAAATTCAGTTTCTATCTCTCAGCAAACACATTACATCACCACTGAAAAAACCAACCAGTCAATGCTGCTTAATGAAACAATCACTCCTTACTAAAAACTATATCAAATACATAAACACACTCTGTGGGCTGCACCCAGAATTCTAGTATGTTAAATCAAGTGGTGCATACAGAACCACTGGGATTTAAAAGACTGCCTGATCTCAGCCTTTCAACTGGCTCATGCAGTTGACTTCCATTTTCTGGAAAATCAAGCTGTTATCAGTAGCTGTCTAGGTTGGTAAGTGTTCAAATAGGGACATTTTTAAAGCTACTGACGTGTTCACAGCTACGTGCTTCACCGCAACCAGGGCATCGCCGGCTGCTAAGCCCACATGAATTCTGTGCTCAGCATGCTTGACGGCCCACAACGTTTGGATTGAAGGAAGATAATGAACTAGTAGACCTCTACACAGCATTATGTTACATGGCAGGAAGTGTGGTTCATGCATGGGAGTTCTTTTTATGATTTCTCAGCAGTAGCCAGTAGTTATCAGTGTCATGAGCCATTTGTTCCCTGTTAACAGTTAGTCAGCAGTTTGGCATGACATGGTTAGCGATAATTTACAGTAACGTGTATTTCACCTATGTGGTGTATAACACCTATGTGATATATGGATCTGCAGGAAAGTGTCATTGATAATTTCAACATAAACACGTGATGATATGTGATAAAAGAGTTCCCAGCAGATAAACAATTCATAATTTGGTGAATAAACTTACAACGGGACTCTTAAGAGACAAGAAAACAAAACACAAGCGTCGAGTGCTTACTGAGAAGAAGTGACTTTTGTGATTTTTTTCTTCTGGGATTGTGTGGAGGACAAAGTTTACAGCAGTAACCCTTGAACGGAAGGACTGAAAGAAAATATTTGTAGGGAAATTTCAAATATTTCTGCATGGAATCTTCAGAAGGTAAATCAAAACCTCTTTTGCTGGGGCGAGGACAGCATTTTCAACACCTCCTGTGATCGGTGAACAAAGGTAAGAACTTCCCTTCATTCCAAATTTTACCAGCAGACTGAGTCATTGGCAATATTCACATACACTCCATGGGCAGCAGCGCACAAGTTGCGGTGAAGCATGGAGCCATGAATGCATCAAGTTCAGTAAAAACCACGCTGTATATAAATAAATTACTATTGAAGCAAGAAATAATTCACAGTAACTTGTAAAAGACAGTATATTTTCTCAATACATTGCTTCAAATGATGGCCTATTAACATTGAACAACAGTTAATTCTTCTATTGTAGGTATATTTGTCTCAATGGTTACCGACCAACAGACAGTCCACATGTTTTAACTTTACACACATTTCATTAGATACCTAGTACTTGGGCTACCTGTACTTTAAATTAACCATGCTATTTCTCTCCTCCATTATCATACTTTCAGAACAATTTGGTGCATTATATTGAACAATGGGTTTTCTCATATGATATAACCCCAGTTTTACAGTCCTGTCTAAATCAACAATATAAAAAAAGAGAAGCCGCCAATTGTGCAGCTACTCAAGAGCTTCCCAGCATTTTTTGGAATCTGAAGGCTCACTACCGTGTTCACAAGAGCCCTCCACTTGTCCCTATCCTGAGCCAGATCAATCCAATCAAACCATACAATCCTATCTCTCTAAGATCCATTTTAATATTGTCCACCCGCCTACACCTTGGTCTTCCCAGTGGTCTCTTTTCATCTGGCTTTCCCAGCAATATCCTATATGGCGTAGTCTCCCCCATTTGTGCTACATGCCCCTTCCTACCTCATCCTAGTTGACTTCATCATTCTCATTACACTTGGAGAAAAGTACAAGTTATGAAGTTCCTCACTGTGTTTCTCTAACCTCCTGTCACTTCATCCCTCTTCGGTCCAAATATTCTCAACACCCTCAGTCTATGTTCCTCCCTTAATGTCAAAGGCCTAGTTTCAGAACCATACAGAACCACAGGCAAAATTATAGTTCTCTATATTCTAATTTTTTTGTTTTTGGACAGCAGACAAGAAGACAAAAAGTTCGGGACTGAATGGTAGCAAGCATTAACAAAGTTCAATCTATTCTTAATTTCCTCCTGAATCAGGTGTCGCTATACCGACGCTTTCCAGTACTGGACAAAAATAAATTAAATATGCATGTTGAACGAAACGTCTTTGGATTACTCGCGTTGCTGATGGTTTCCTTTGCGATCGCCCTCCCACCGAGCCGCCCAAAAAATGTGCTGCCTAACCGAACTTTCGTGCATCATGCATAATCTAACCTAATAGTAAATCATTAAACTTTAAAAATATATACACAATTAAAATTCCAGCCATATCAATACAGTTACGACAATACAAAAAAACACATACCACTTGAAAGGATCATAATACACATTCTTGAAGAAACTTCCCAAATTACCACGATTTTTTTCTCCCATTTCGTTTATCTTCTTGAACAGAATTACACGATCACGCACCAGGTCCAAACCGTCGGAACTTAATGTTACCGACTGTGGACGCAGTTGCTGAGACATCACGAAAATCCTTCCTCTATATTCAGCTGCAAGTCTAATGACACAGAATAGCCACGTCCAGCGCCGAGAGCACGATCGGTAAGATGGTATACTATCGTCGCGTATTACCTATTTGACGTTGCGTTTCTCTGGTAACCTATTTCTAAGAAACCGGTTACGTGTCTCCTAGGTAACGCGACGAATAACTTCATGTAGGTATCGGATTCAGCGACTATTTATAGAACACACTCTTTACACACAAAAGTATATTTATTATCACGTTTACTGCTTTTGCGATTCCATTCACTCGATCCAACTAACTCGGCGAATACTAACTTCAACAACAGAAACTTCAACTGACTCCTGCGGCTGCTATATTTCAACTGACCGCTGTCTGTCAAAGTCACATTGCGACTGACTGCCAGTCAGTCAGTATTTTTTTATTGCTAGTGGGGCGGGAGTAAGCCCCTTGTACTACGGCCACTTCTGGCCTATTGCACCAGCCCCAGATGATAAGTGAGGGTGATTGTGGAGCAATTGGTGGAATGAAGATTGGCAGGGGAAACCGAAGTACTCTGAGAAAACCTGCCCCAGCGACCCTTTGTCCACCACAAATCCTACTTGACCACACCCTGGACCGAACCCGGGCCGCCGCGGGGGGAAGCCAGCGACTAACCGCTTCAGCTATGGCGCGGCCCAGTCAGTAAGTCAGTAAGTCTTGGTGTCGGGCCCCAGTCAGTCAGTAAGTCTTGGTGTCGGGCCCCAGTCAGTCAGTAAGTCTTGGTGTTGGGCCCCATCTGGGGCTCATGACCAGATATTAATTATTACCGTTTGACAGTTACGATCTTATTTTTGTGGGGCGCCCTCTCTGACAAGAGGACGGGTCTGTCTTTTGCACATGCTGCTGGCCCTTGCCAGCGCGGTCTTTCTCGGTCCGAGTACCTTGGGACTTGCGACCATATTTTACTGTCTCAGATTTGAGACTTCCCGTTTCGTCGCTTCCTCCGACTCACAGGGTCACGGTGGAGGTATTCGACCCCGCCTCCACTAAAGGGGGAACCGAAGCTGGACTTTTATAACCTGGTTTCGGACGGAATGGAGAGCAGCTGGTATGGTCAGTCCAAGTCACATTGCGACTGACGGTTAGTCAGTCTGTCTGTCTTGGTGTCGAGCCCCAGCTGGGGCTCATGACCAGATTTTTTTTTCTTTTTGTTTCCTTATATGAAAGTTACTGTCCTGTCTATTTGGGGCCTACATTCAATCCCCTTATACAGGCCTTATGTGGACCGAATACCAGACACCATTTCCACCAGTTTGGTTTACCCATTGCCACACAACGCTTCTAACAATTCATTATAACCGTGGAGACTCACTGTTGGAATTTCGATATTGCATTGCTTCCATTGTCTTGGAATGGATACATTCTGATTGTAGCGTTGTAGCGGGAAAGTCGCCCATTGCTTAGGAAATGACTGTTTAGATACGCGTTCTTCAGCATGTTAGCACCAGCCTATGTGTACCCCCCCGCCCCTTTGTGTGGAGCCCATGTTTATTGGATGCAATGTTCATGATCGTTGAGTGAGCCATGTACTATATGTGGGAAGAACCATGTAAGGCTTGAACATGTATTAACCTACCAAGTACTGAAAATCTTCTAGTAGTACAGGATGGGTTGAAAGGATGGAGGGCACACCAAGGAAACTGGCAAGCGCAACGCATTTCCGAGAAATGTCGCCAATTTCAAGCAGAAGCTTGTTTCCATATTAGCAGGCGCACACTGTGGAAACTTATGTTCAGTTAGTTGCTAACATCATCTTAAGTGGGTGTATTTGCCCGCCAATTTCGTGCACTTCTGCAAAGTCAGATAATAATATTGTTCCTGTAATGGTATGGTGATGGTTGAGAAGGGGTAAGAGGAGAAGATAGGAGAAAAGGAAACATTGGGTGGATCCATTCTTTTGCAACAATTTAAACTCAGGTGCTTATATTGTTTCGAAAGAAATTCTTAGACACTTTGAAATTTGATAAATTGCCTGAACTGATTCTAATACCCACAACGGAGGTGGCAATAAAGAGCATACTTATGTTGCAAAAATCAAAATATTCTACAGGATATGATGGCATTTCTAGTAAGATATTGAAATACTGTATAACTGAGATAAGTAAACCATTGTGTCACATATTTAATGCAACTTCTGAGCATGGAATATATCCTGATAGAATGAAATTTGCCTCATTAAGACCTATATACAAAACAGGTGAGAAGGCAATTATGCCAAACCACAGACCAATATCATTGCTAATAAGTTTTTCTAAGACCTTTGAAAGAGTGGTGTACAATAGGATAAAGCAACACATACATACAAACAATTTAATACCTTTTGCACTGTTTGGATTTAGAGAAAACAGTAACATAGAAATGGCAATATATACATTAACTTATCATATTTTAGAAACGTTGCAAAGACGCAATCATTCATTAGGAATTTTTTGTGATTTGACAAAAGCATTTGACTGTGTGAGTCATGATATTCTTTTGAGTAAATTAGCAACATACGGCATTGGTGATAAAATGAAAATATGGTTGAAGTCCCATCTGGAAAAGAGAAGACAAAAAGTTGAACTTTATAGTAATGAGAATGGAAAATGCTGTTCAGACTAAGGAACTGTCAAATATGGATTGCCACAGGGCTCGATTTTGGATCCTTTGTTGTTCCTTTTATATATTAATGACCTGCCGTCAAAATTAACTACTGACAACAAGTTATTGTTGTATGCCGATGATACAAGTATATTAGTGTCGGGGTATTAATATCGATGAAATTCAAGAAAGGTCTAAAGTAATGTCAAATTCCTTAAGTCAGTGGTTTAAATACAATGTGTTAAAATTTGAAACAATCAATCGTGACACTATGCCTGTACATTTAAAGTTTAACACTGAATTATTACAAGAGGAAACTCATAAATGTTTTGGCATTGAAATTGATAAGTTCTTGAATTGGAAGACACAGGTTGAATCACTGTTACCCAGTTTGGGAAAGGCATGTTATGCAATATGAATTATGAAAACATATAGTAATGTTAAACACTTAAAATGATATATCATGCATACTTTCATTCACTCATGAGAGATGGAATAGTTTCTTGGGGCAATTCATCAGAGGCCAAGATCTTTCTCTTACAAAAGAAGACTATTAGAATAATAATGGGGATGAAACATAGAGAGTCATGTAGGCCAGCATTTATAAAGTTAAATATATTAACACTGGTCTCTCAATACATTTTATCTCTGATGACTTTTATGATAAATAACTTGGAATATTTTACTTTTAATTATTCAATTTATGAGAGACCGACAAGACACGAAAAAATTTACATGTCCTACAATCACATCTCGCAATGAGGCAGAAAGGGGTCCATTGCATGAGTATAAAAATATTTAACAGTCTGCCCAGATATTTATCTAACTTAGTACATGATAAAAAAGAGTTTATAAAAGAAATAAGGGATGTCCTAATACATAATCCATCATCTACTGTTGATGAATTTTTGCTCTTCTGTCGGGATCAACAGCTAAGGAATAGAAGAGGAGTGCATGCTGACTGATGGATGTCCCACAGTAGGCATCAATATAGACATTAAGTGTAAATATAATCTGTATTTTATGAATTTATTTAGATGCACGTTGTTTGCATTTATGTTTGTTTGTTATTGTGATATGGCATGTTGGAATTGTAAAGGTGTATTGTTGTCTGTAAAGCTTGTGACATGTTTCATATTCAGTGCAGATTGCACTTATAAATATCCTGAAATGCAGATGTATGTATGTAAGAACGAATCAGGTTCCAGAACTGTTCAAATAATTTTACAGAATGAGCACTGAAAGTTTTTAGTTATTAGTGTATCTTGTAGGATCTCAAATTCAAAGACAATGTGCAAATTTTCATACAACTGTGTCAGCAGAAGAAAAATTACTGATTTCTCTGAAGTAAGGAAAGTTTATCTTTTTATTGATATCCAAATTCTGCAGATCTCTAAACAAATACAATACCACTGTGTGTCCCGGTAGGGTCAAGAAATTTCTCTTCTCCAAGTGGTGCAGAACCCCTCTGGGGTCCACCCTACATCCTCTCCAATGGGTACTGGGGGCTCTTTCCCAGGGGGTAAAGTGGCAGGGGCGTGAAGATGACCACTTACCTGCAGCTAGTGCTGATGTCAAGAAAATATGAATCTATACATCCACTCCCCCATATGCCTTCATGGTGTAGTGCTTAATTAGTTAAACACATGGACAACTTTACCTTATGATATATAAGATATGTCTACACAACAACACTCATAAAAAAACAAAATATACACTATTGTATCAACAGCTGTTTTGTATTGCTGTTGACGCTACATGTTTCGACCTTTATATCAGGTGTACAATGATATTAGTCCTAGTTCTTGAATTGCATCTAATTTCAATATGGATCCATATTGTGTTCTTGTAAGTTTTAAATGCATAAATTGAATTTTAAGTATCTTGCCTCACATTATTGTGGTATGGTCTTTTTGTATGGATAGGACAGTTCAATTGTTTAAACCAGCATTAAAGAGATATCTTTGCTCATGGTCATTTTATTCATTAGAGGAGTTTTTTAATCAAAATAATTTGTAAATACTGATTGGATGTAAATGGGATTAACTGTATGTTATATTTTTTAATTTTAATTATGTTTATTACTTAGTATTATGTGATATTGTTTTATGATTAATGTTTAATGATTGTGACAAATGAACTTGGAGTAGTAAGAAGTAAAAGGTTGTATTTCTAACAGTGTATGAATCTATGTTGTTATGATATGGCTTGATTTAATGTTACACCATGTATCTTTTTATGTTTTGTATGAGATTGATTAAGTTTGACTAGCTCTATATCCTATGGGTGCTAAAGCCCCTGTACAGGATTTGTGGAGTTATTTAATAACAATAAACAATAAACAAAACAATTAAGAGAGGCTTCTGTGTTTTCAGTGATCTTATACGTCACAAGCAGGGCCAGCTGAGCAGTGATTGCTACTTACTTTACCCTCAGCTTATTCACTGACCCTGAAGATGGAGGCCCTATGTTCCTCCCGAACGGCTTTGACTTTTAACGGACTACACGGGGTTATAACCCCCGAAGACATAGTGAAGGGTGGAGTCCAGCAGGGTTCACTCGGCACGGCGGCCACTGATTGGTCTATTGTACCTGCCCCTGGTGATTACGATGATGAAGAATTTGGTGGAAAGAAGATTGGTATGGGAAACCGAAGTACTCGGAGAAAACCCGGCCCAGCGCAGTGTGTCCACCACAGATCCCACTTGACAACTCCCCAAATCGAGGTTAAATCTGTAACAGCCCCGTGATGATCTGTAATTCGTGATATCGTGGCTCGTCTGTGGTCATGGTCGTCATCGTTGTGTCGTCTGTTACCCAGCTCACCATATTACTTCTTGTTCAAATCAAATTGTATATTTACTTAAACAGAAGCCACATGTTCGTTGGAGAACGTTTTTGAAGAATAAATTAGCTAATTGTGTACATTGAGGGCCATTTTGTATGCAAGAAATAATAACGAAATAATAAATATTTAATTTTTTTCGCTTCATTAATTAGATTTCTGAAATGTTGGTACACTTGTAGAAAGTGCGCGTTGCGATCGTCAATTTGAATAGTATTTATACTGCAGGAGCTGCATGTTAAGACAGTACCAATAGGTTATGCTTCTTACGTTAATGGCATGTGCTAACTAGCAGGTTGGATGAACATTTCGAAAGGAAGGTTTCTGTGTTTTAAATAAAAAGCATATGGATCACCATACGCCCGAGATTAGTGGTTAGTTTATTTCTGTGGGGGTAGTTTTGTGGTATGTTACTAGTCAAATTGAGACAATGCCAATGTATTGTGGGGCCATCAAAGTTAGGAGCGCCTAGTTCTGTCCTGCCCATAGTTACTGTCTCATATTTTTCTGATGACTGTGAACGCAGCGAGAAGCCAGTGTTTAAACAGCTGGCTTCCCTGCCCTGCCTATTCCAAAAACATATGCTGCAGGAGTGGTATCCTAAATTTGTAAGTTGAAGTGTTCATGTTTTTGTTGTGCATAAGTACCATTTCATGGAGGCCAGAAAGGAATGTGAGGGGAAGGCTTTACGAGCTCCCAGACTCTGGCATTCGATTGAGGCCAGATTGCTGCTGTGGTCATGTTTATTTTGCTGGAGAAAGCAGCCCATTATCTGTTCAGTCAGAAGTGCAGTGGGTTCCAGAACTTTTCCAGATCATGTGGCAAAGAAGATAATTCTGTGTCCTCCTGCCAGCTGTTGAATTACAAAATTTAATCTATATATCGATTTTCTATGGATAGCAGCTTCTGGGCACAGAAATTCAGCATAGCACCTAAAATTTATAAAAGAAAAATATAGAAACATGGATCTTTTCTGATGTGGTTGCATGCTGTTATACACATTGTAATATGTGTGGAGTTTTCCAGAATCTTCATTGGCTCTAATTTGAATTTAAGAAGAAATTTGGAATTACTTGAAATTTAGTTGTTTCAAGAATTATTTTGCAGTTTTAACAAAAACTGAATTCACTTCTGTGAGCATGATACAGGTCTTTGTACAGCTGCTGTTTTTATCTTTTGAGTATGGAAGGTTTCGGAGATCGGATGCTTGCCAGGAAAGTTAGTAAGAATAACAGTGACATTTTAAATGCCTTGACACAGAGTAAGCAAGAAGGCAGTAACTTTTGTGTGTCTTTCTGAATTTCTCTCTGTCGAATGAGATTACTTTTGAAAGTTGCTAATATGTAGGTAACATTTTGAGATATGTATATTTTATGAACTCGAATCACTGTGGTGAAGCTGGTGTAATTTTAAAGAGATATACTTTTCACACTTTAATGGTAACAGATTCTTTAAACATGGTAGTCTAAATATGGATGTGCCTGAATTCTGCCAGTTGTGTGACATGATATTGATAGTAGTTCTTGCGTACAGTTGACGTAGGTGTGAAAAATTGTGCTCATTGCTAAGTAAACAGAGGTGAACCTTGTTCAATCTTTGATTGCAGCATTAACTAGAAGACTGGTAGAATGTGTTGGGCCAGTGTTCTTGAGTTTCTGGCAGGTTGAACCTGGAATTTCACATGATGCCTTGGCACTTCAAGAAGAAGACGAATCAGAAGATGAATTGACTTCTAGTTTTATTGACCCAGATGATGTAAATTTCCTTAGAAGTCTTGATCCTAAAGAGTGGAAGGTAAACAATTTCTTCCTTACACATTCATGCTGTGGGTTTTTATGAAATTTGATTTTAATTATTTACAGTATTATTTTTTCTAGGAACAAGATCATTATGCTGTTCTTGGTTTGAAGAAGTTACGTCACAAAGCTACGGAAGATGATATAAAGAAAGCGTGTAAGTTGATTTATGAATTTTGTGTTTATGCTGTGTTAGTGAAAACAAGGAACTGAAGTTAGCAGTACTTACTTGGAATTTTCTGTTTGCATTCTTGATTTTTAAGAGTGTGACTGCTCATACTGCATAAGAAGGTTCTGTGTATCATGCATGTCTATGCTGTTCATATTGAGGATACAATGGATAACATTTTAAAAATAATAAATACATATTTGGGTTCATTTTATCTTAAACTGTCAGTTTTGCTGGTGATTTTTCTCTTTCAACTGGACTGATCACCAGTTTCACACAAGATCGTTCAGTTGCAGAGAGTTAAAGAGGTAAGCGCTGTATTCTTCAGGGTAATGGTAATATGTAGGCTGGTATGTGCGTGCTAACATTTCAGAGGGCATACTCTGCCTCCTTGAATCACTGACTGCATATTTAAGGTATGAGATATGTGACATTCTTATGGCAGTGAATATGAAGATCATTGCCTTCTGGGATGTGACACCATGTAGTCTGGTAAATAGGTACCAGCATTTTGGAGGAACCTGCTTCTGCTATCTTGAGGGTAAGATGGTTGCCCTGAAACATTGGTACCTGTCTACTAAATTACATGGCATGACATTTCAGAAGACTAATATTAATGGATGTTGAAAATTATCTCGAATGAAAATGATGATACTACATCATGGAGCAGCTAGGTTCTCAGTACCACTCAATTATGTTCTGTGGTCTATTTATTAGTGGACTATTTAATAACAATTTCAGTATCTAGACTGTGTGGCTTTGAAGGGATGGCTCACAGATGAATGATAATTTGCAAGGGATTGGAAGGAAGTGGTTGAGGCATAATTGGCATCTGCATGGAGGAACTTAGGAAGACCATGAACAACTTAAGTCAGAATGGATAGTTACCCACCTCAGATTTGAACCAAGCATCTCTTGAATACGAGTCAAGAACATCACCACTACGCCAGATTGTTCGGTTATGTGGTTCAGTTGGTGTTGTATTAGTGTTCCGATAAGTGTTCCTCTCCTCCATTATCCAGAAATTGCTTCTTCAGGTCCAGATGAAATAAAAATTAAATTAGTTTGTTTAACCTTTGCTGACATGGAAGAAATACTGTTTTTGATTTGTGAAACAGTTATGGTTTATGCTTGCAAGCTAAAACTGTATAATAGTAATTAGTATCGTATGGCATTTCTGAGAAAGGCCTGTAAATTTAATGTTCTTCGTATTTTTCTTGACTTTGCAGATCGATTGAAAGTGTTGCGTCATCATCCCGATAAACGTAAGGCTCAAGGTGAGGAAATTCGTCCTGATGATGACTACTTCACCTGTATTACCAAAGCTTGGGAGATACTGGGTAATCCACGCAATCGCCGTTCATATGATTCTGTTGACAAAGAATTTGATGATTCAATACCAACAGTGAATGATCACACTCGGACTAATTTTTATGAGGTAGTACGGTGTCTAGTTATGTTATCAAACTTGGGCATGCAGTATGACATTTTTATTGTAACAAAGTAACTGCTTGTCTTTAATTCAGTTGTCTTAAATAGATCATAATTTTATATGAAATATCATTGCAGTCATCATAAACATTTGCATAATGTCCAAAAACATTCATGAACTGAAATAATGGATTATATTAAGCGTAATTTTAATGCTGCAGGAATTAGTTCAGTATTTGTTCTGTATAATGTTCATAGTAAACCAGATTTTTCCAAGTGAAAGAGTCAGTTCAAAAGAGAGCATTAACATCATTCGGTAAGTGTTACAAACTTTTTGTCATTGCTGTTTGTAACTGGATTTTTTAGATCTTGAGTCAAAAGGTTTTATATACTGAGATATATAATTTTGACATAATATCAAAGTAGAAAATTTAGCAATGTGTAACACTAATTGAATGCTATTAATACTCCGTTTGGAATTTATGTCCTTACCGTCCTCCATTCTGAAATTTTTGGTTTTCTGACAAGACACACAAATCTGACAAGCATGATAAAACTATGGCATACTGGAAAATCAGATCTCTTCATGACAGGTTCAGTGGGTACATGGACTGAAGAAGGATGAAGTAATAGGAGACTGGAGAAAATGCATAATGAGAAGCGTCATAACTTATACTCACTAAATATAATTAGAATGGTCAAGTTATAGAGGTTGAGACGGGCATGGTATGTACCACACATGGAAAAGAAGAGGAATGCATAGAAGGTTGTGGTATGAAAATCAAAAGGGAAGAGAACACTAGGAAAACCTAGATGTAGGTGGGAGGATAATATTAAAATGGATATTAGAGGAAAAGGATGGGGACATATGGAATGGATTCATCTGACTGAGGATAGAAATCAGTGTGAGGCTCTTGTGAACATGATAATGAACTTTTTGGTTCCATAAAATGTAGCTGTAGGCTTGACACTTCTTGCTAGTCATTTATAAGATATAAGATGTTAATTGTATGGTGGTAGTACATGAGACATGGTGGTTCCAGATGCAGTAGATTTTCTTTGAACTTAAGAATTGTTTAGCAAGGGATTATTTAAAATGATTACACTCTGTGGCATGTAGTCTGCAAGCGACTGCCGCTTGTCGGCAAAGTTAGTGCCAACTGGTGCGGATAGAAGGTGTCACATGGTCAGTGCAACAGATCCCCATGGCCGTTAATTTCGGTTTTCTAGATCAGAGCTGCTGTTTCCTTGATATAGCTCCTCAATTATCCTCACAAGGCTGAGTGGACCCCTTTCCAGACCCATTACTTCTCAGAAAATCTGGTAGCTCCGGGAATCGAACCCGGAACCTCTGGATCTGTAGGCAGGAACTCTGACCACTAGACCACAGAGGCAGTATTAAAATTATTACACTGATTTATTAATTTATCTTCTTTAATTAAGTTTTTATTAAAGTGCAAAGATATGGGCATATTATCAGTATTCGAATGTGATCACAAGATCCATTTCAGCCTTCTAAAAATCCATAAAATACAGGTCAGTAAATTCTGCATCATCACAGTATGAACATCAGAGCATTTTATGTTACGCACTCTCAGCAGTTGGGCCATTATCCTGTTGAATTACTGAATAAAAGCACTGAAATTACATGGGGTTCATTGAAGCATGGTACTAAGTTGTACAGTTGTAATCTGTTTCAGATATTATGCTAATATTTAGCTGGAAATACTTCCCTTCATTTCAGATTCAACTTTTCAGTATACTACACAGAAATCCCTTGCCACCCATGGTTTTGCCAATTGGAGATGGCAAACATTCACGATTTTCCATTTGTATCCAGATTTGCTAACTGCGGTGTTTGCTTTTATGTGCCCACAAATTTATTTATGCATGTAGAAAGGATTGGTGCTTCTACATGAAGATATTTGCATTTATTGGAGGGCAGGGCTGTAATGGCATATGAAACACATTTTCTGTCAAATTACTCTTGTGTTTTTTTTTTGTTTTATGCCTCATTTATTTTAAATGTTTATTTAATTTTATTTTAAATTTTAAAGCGACTTGGGCTTGTGACGAGTGGCTGTGGTTACCCCTAACTCTCAATTTCCCATAAGACCTTTTGTCTTGCAACCTGCAGTTTTGGCAACCATGGTGTTTTTTAAAAAGATAACTGCCAGTGGTTGGCAAGAGAACTGCATTAATTGGCAAAATAATGTTTCTTGTTCAGGTGTTTGGAGAAGCGTTTGATTTGAACTCGCAGTGGTCTGAAAAAATGCCAGTACCTAAATTAGGAGATGAATCAACACCAAGAGAGAATGTTGAACGATTTTATTCCTTTTGGTACAACTTTGAATCATGGCGGGAATATTCTTACCTGGATGAGGAAGAAAAGGAACAGGGACAAGGGTAAGTAAAATATTTTAGTGTGTAAACCTCAAATTCAGCACAGATTGAACCGGTCAGGACATAGAGGTAACGGTGATGAAACTTCATGTGTTATAACAGCAGCACTGTTAGGGAGACACAGTCTGAAGGGCTTCATATTGTAGTCTTATAATTTATGAGACCACATAATCTGGTAGGTGGGTACCAACATTCTGGAGGAATGTAAGTATTTCCTACTCTGAAGATGGAGGCAGTATGTTTCTCTGAAGTGTCAGTACTTACCAGCCACACTACATGGTAGCGTCACCCAGGAGTCCACAATATGTACCTTCACCACTATGGAAACCTCAAGCCTTGATTAATGGACTGCATGGCATTATGGCCCAGAAGTTCGAACTCTTAATGATCACTGCTGTGAGATCTTCAAATCCACAAATCTAAAATCTGGAAAAAATTGCATCAACAGGCACCTCAGTAGATTGAAAATCCTTATGAAGAACAAAGTATTTTTCTGACTCACCAAAATGTACCAGACTTCTAATCCCAACTGCAGGTTTCTTTTTTTCAGGATCATACAATTCATTCTGGTCCTTCTTATGAAAGGACTGTTCTGTTATTTCTATGACACTCCAGAGGATAAACTGAATTGTCTGTGCGTGTTCCTTTGATCTCCCTTTCATATGATTGCTGACTGCAGACATTCATCCCTCTGATGGCTGTCTAATCCATCTTCAAGCATTTCAGTTTCCTTGCAAATTTTTATATCATCAGTGCTCCATATACATCTGGGATCAGGGTCTGGTATAGAAAACTTGTGTAAATCTGCAGAACCAAGGGACTTAGTCTCACTCCACTGTTCAGCTAAGTTTACTGTCACATTCATAACATTTTCTGCAATTTGTGTTTCTATGACCACTTCAATTTGAAATATATCATTAAAGTTGTTCAGACTTATTCTTTATAAGATGCAAGCTTTTGTAACTGTGGCTTTTGAAACTTTATTTGATCCTTAATTATTTTTATTTTATGTATCAACCATTTTTCCCCTTGGCACTACAGTCCCAGTGGGCCTAGGCCTACCTCCATGAACTTCTCCGTTCACTTCAGTTTTTCTAGATCTTACACATTCGGTAGGACTCCTTGGGCGGAAAATCAGCTCGTCGCAAGGCCTCTACCTGTACAGAAACACAGAAAAATGCACACACACTAACTAAAGATCCATGCCCTGAGTGAGATTCGAACCCACGATCCCGGTTTCCAAGCGAGCGAAGACAGTGCATGCCTTACACCGCTCGGCTACCATGACCGGCCAATCAACCATTTTACAAATATTTATTTAAAATGATAAAATATGTATGTTCAGTCTCCAAATCATCATCATTGACTATTTTTAATAACAATGCATAAGAAGTGATTATGCATGAGAAGGTTCTGTATGGTGTAAAGACACATGCATATGTGTTGTGTCAGTTTGAAAATACAGTACGTACATTAAGAATTTTTTATATGGCCAATAGTCATTTACAGCAATATATCATGTAATAGAAATTACTATATAAGGCATTTTACTTTACTTTTTTTTGTATTATTATGATGTGATTCTTTCAGACGTGAGGAACGTAAGTGGATAGAGAAACAAAATAAAGCAGCTCGCGTGAAGAGGAAGAAAGAAGAAATGGCTAGAATTCGAAGTCTTGTTGACACAGCGTACAGTTTAGATCCGCGTATTCTGAAATTTAAGCAGGAAGATAAGGATCGTAAATTGGCTGTAAAACAAGCGAAAAAAGATGCTGCAAGAGCTCGTCAGGAGGAAGAGGATCGTGTAAGATAGCATGTTGACTGTACAGTTTCTTACCTCTGCTTTTGTCACAATTCTGCTAACACTAATTTCTAAGTAACAGAAGTGATCAGTTGTAGTTTTTGTTAATTTTATCTTTTATCTGTTCCTTTTCAACCACTTTGCAGTGTACATTATTGAAAGCAACAAACATGAGAGTACTCTTTTGAGAACATTTCTTTATTGTGTTAGAAAGCACAAGCTGCTGAAGAAGAGATGAGGAAACAAAAGGAAGAAGCAGAAGCAGAGCAAAAGGCAAAACAGGATGCTATCAAAGCTGAACGCGAAGCTCAGAAACGTGCACTCAAGAAGGAACGTGCAACACTTCGGAAATTAGCCAAAGAAAACAATTATTACTCAACTGATCCTTCTGAAGTGGTGCATCACATGGGTAGCCTTGAGAAGATCTGTGAATGCCTAAGGCTAGAAGAGTAAGTAACAGTACAATAATGGTGTTTTCAAACAAAGTCCATAATTACAAAGATTATGTTTTTGGACTTTATCCATGATCTTGCCTCTATATAAAAACTGTTGTGTTTATTTTTCAAAACACAACGTTTTGGAGACTGGATTCTGTCTCCATCTTCAGGTAAAACCTACTCAGTTGGGCCCAATGAATAGAGGTAGTCCCTATCTCCAGATAAGTCCAGTCTCTGAAATGTGTTTTGAAAAATAAAGAGGACTGTTTTTAGATAGAGACAAGATGGATAATGCCCAAAAACATAATATTTGTACCAATGTACCATCGTCACAAACTTTTAGATCTTACCAAGTCCATGATCATATTGAACCTCTCAATGCTAGAAGATTTAAATGTCTCAAGGGCTTTAAACAGGGGGCATGCGGTAGCGTAGTTGGTTGAGGCACTGTGCTACAAGCCGGAAGGTCGCGGGTTCAAGTCCCGAAGAGGTCATTGGATTTTTTCATTTGACCTAATCCTTCTAGCCACACTATGGCCCTGGGGTTGACTCAGCCTCTAACAGAAATGAGTACCAGGAATTAATTAAATAATTTTCCTGGGGAGTAAAGCGCGGCTGGCGCGTAAGGCTGACAACCTTACCACCATCTTTGAGCTGATTGTCTAGATAATTTGGGACCCTCAATGTCTCATAACCCTATGAGCCTTCATGGCCTGCTACAGGGATAGCTTTACTTTTTACTTTACTTACAAGGGCTTAAACATACTACAAATTTATGGACCGAAATGATTGTAACTTCTATAATTTTAATCAGATTTCATTCATACTTTGGAGATAAGTCCAGTAATGTGTGCAGTCTGTCATTTACAGTACCTTGATTTCATAATTTAGCTTGGTATGGTAGTCTTCAAAGCAATCAAAATGGAGGCCAGCTGAATTTTCTCCCTCCACATACACTCCAGTCCACTGTGATTGTATTAATTTTTCTGCATAATTGGTGGACACTCTCCACTTTTTGATTGCCATAGTCATCATTAACAGATGTAGCAATAGGCATACATCAAGTAGGTTGGTGTAGTAGTAATGCTTTAGGCTTGCATGATACGACTCCTCTTAGGCCATGACTGTGTCCTTCCAAATGTTTCCCAGTTATCCTACCATTCAATGCTGTATACTCTGAGTTACTGAAAGTGTCACAACCTGTAAAAGAACCAATAGACACATTATCATTCACAAAATTTTCACTAGTAGTAATCTGCATCTGATAAGCTTTCTCCCAGATCACTGTATGTAAACTGTCTGCCACATGTTACTCAGAACAGTTGATTTCTTTCTGCTACTAATGGCCATCGTGTTGTTAACTCAGCAACTATCTACTTACAAAGGAATGGTCTGATCCGACATGTCGAAACCTGCCCAGATTTTTTTTTTGACTGCAAGAGTACACACAACAAAATCCACTGTCAAAATTTTAGCTGCTAATATGCACTGAGGTGTGCACTGTCTTCGCTTGCTCGGAAGCCGGGATCGTGGGTTAGAATCTCACTCAGGGCATGGATGTTTGTGTACAGGTAGAGGCCTTGCGACGAGCTGATCACCCGCCCAAGGAGTCCTACCGTATGTCTGAGATCTAGAAAAACCGAAGTGAACGGAGAAGTTCATGGAGGTAGGCCTAGGCTCATTGGGGCTGTAGTGCCAAGGAAAAAAATGCACTGAACTGAAGTTTTAAATAATGTTTAGATGAATTTTAGGCTCAAAAGGGTTAATGTGCAACTATAAAATAGAAGTGGTAATTTCCGGGCTCAGTGCACATTTTGAGATCAAAGCTTCTTGCTGCCTTAGATTGGAAGAACTAGTTACTATGTTGGCACGTGATGGTCGTACAGCCTTCCTCCAAGCGATGGAGGAAACAGAACGTCGCATTGAATGTGAGCGACAACAGCTAATGGAGTCTGCCACTCGTGCCTGTGGAGGTGGCTCAGGAGCTATGGGTAGAAGTAAAAAGGGCTCAACTCCATGGACACATGATCAGTTGCAATTGCTCATCAAGGCTGTTAATGTGTTCCCTGCAGGAACAAATCAGAGGTATGTGCACTTCTTGTCATGAATGCAGTCCATTTACTTATTAAACTTCATGATGCTTATTAAAGTACAGAGAGTTAAAACAAGGAGGAACCAGGGCTACACTGAACACAGCAGATGTTTTGGTTGTGATCACTGCATAACTTCCCAGTATGGTGGTAAGTCATTTATGCAGTCAGCAAATAATGCAAGGGGCACAGACGTGACTGAAGATTCTGCATGCTTGGAGGAATACAATTGAACAGCAGGCTTTCATAGTCAAATCTTACATAAGAAAGGGAACTTACAGAATGTGCATTTAGAACTTCACTCATAAATACCCAAAGTTACATGTACCCGAGCCACCAAACTACCGTCCATCATTGTTACTAAAAAGCTCCTACAGAGAATAAAAAGTAGTTATGTAATAAATAGCTTTTTAATTTATTTTTAATTCATGGGGCAAGCTTTTATGTATTTTAATTCCCATGTTAATTACACTTATTATCCCTTTTCTTGCCTTCTGGTGTCACATTTAACACATTTCTCTTTGGGCATCCAACTATCTTTCACCCTTCCATTACCAGCACTCTTCAATCCATTAATTTGAATAAATTTAGAGATTCTTGATTTCTAACAGAGACTGTACCTGCTTCAACATTGACCATTACACAGAGCCCCATAAATACTCCTCAGAAACTCTCAAATATATCCTAAGCTCTTTCATTCGGCTTTGTCAGGGACCATGCTAGAGGAAGCAAATGATAGTCAAAATTGAGGTGCGTGTTGGTACACTATCTTACATGTGTTCGGTTGGATTGCCAGAAACATATCACTTCTGGCAAGCAGAATCTCTTGCATACTGTGTTGCAAGAAACGTAACGACTGATGAGTTGAAAAACTTTTCAAGAAACTGCTCTTGAATTATAAAGAGGATAAGGCAGGAAAGAACCACAAAATCTTTGATGTTCTAAAAAAACTGAGAAAGTGATGAAAATAAAGAACAAGTTAAGGAATGTATACCATCCTCTTCCCTGTGGCAGTAAATGAAGGCTGGTTTGAAGGGATGCTTCCTCTTGAAAGAATATGTGTAAGAAGAAGTGACCAAGTATAGCATAAAGACATGCAAAATATTTGACAATGGTAACGGATATCTGTATAAATGTAAAATTCATGTAGGGATATGGGAATCTTCTGCTGAGTTACCGGATACTCAAAATGTATGAAGATTGCATGGAGAAATAAAGTCACATTTTGATGATTTCACTCATATACAAAACTAAATGTCTCTTTGGAAAAGAAAGTATCTCTGTGCGGAGGAACCTGAGCTGGAAGGAAAGACTGGCTGAGACTATAGGAAGACTGCAGTGAGGTGGATGCAAAGAGGTAAAATTGAATGAAAGTGAATAAAAAACAAACTGCAGTTTAAAAATGTACTTCAACGTTGTGGAAATAACTGTGATGTAGTCATCTTTCTTACTAATTTGTGTTATGAATTGGAAAACAATACTTTGAATGCCATGAAAAAAGGGTTTGACATTAACATAATCTGAAATATGATTCTTACATAGTACTTATACAGAACATCTCTTTTCTGTGGTACATACAGATATTCTGGTTTAAAATAAATGGGGAACAGTTGATGATCTCTATTTCCTTTGTGGTCTAAATTTATAGTAGGTTTGTTTTGTAAACTGTTGTAATATATTTTTAACATTTTATTAGAATGACTGTTGAGTTATGAATACTAATTTATGTACTGTAATAAATACATTTATTACAGGTGGGAAGTGGTTGCCAATTTTATCAACCAGCACACCAATGGGGAATATGAGCCACGCACTCCTAAGGAAGTGCTAGCCAAGGCTAAAGATCTTCAAAGTTGTGATTATTCTAGAAATATCCTTAAAGTTGCTGTGAACCAGAAAGCATATGATAACTTTGAGAAAGATCAGAAAAACTCTGTAGAAGTTTCTGCAACCACGTCTCAGAGGTTTGATAGTAAGTACAGTTAGAACGGGAGTCTGGCTTATGACACTTATTGCCAGGAGCACGAAAAGATATATTATATTCAGTTTTATATTGCATTACTGTAAGGCAATCCAGATAATGATCTTCATGCAGGAAGAAATTGCACATGTGTCAGCTCTGTGAGTTACTCTGACAGCAGAACATAATGTACAACCAAGTATAGATTGAACGATGATAAATATTCTTAGCATAGTGGTGAAATTAATATTAAGTTAATGATTTGTACTAGATTGTTGTCCAATATTAAAAATTGTATCCCAAAAGAACAAGAGGGGGAGATGGCACTACCTTAGTAACTAATATAGTATTAGCATAATATTTTTTAACTCGTTCTCATTCATAAGCGCATAAATGTGGTATTGTTAAACTGGCCTATATCACCAAGAGCACATAAATGTGCGAAGGGTATGTTCACTTATCTTAATATTTCAAGTTGCAACTGCTGCATCTTCATCAGCCGTTTCCTGGCAATGGCTTCTAACAGTGGAGATTCTTCAGCTTCACGAGCTCACATTCTGTCTTCACAGCCTACCATGCAGAACTCAGTTCTGAACTATCAGCTGAACAAGTTGCCCCAATTCTCTTCTTTTTATAACTACTTGGTATGGACTGTACAGACAACACCCAATTTCCCCCATTGCATGCGTAACCGTTGCCATGGGAACGTGTTTACTGAGTAGTAACCCTATTGTTGTATGTAGAGGCATGTTTAACTGTGCCTTTGCACAGCAACAGTTACCATCCCATTGTTTGCAGCAGTGGGGCATTTCACTTGTACAGTGCTTTAGCTGTAGAATTTAACCAGCCTAAATGTATTATTTCTAAACCAAAATAATAAGGTAGTTCATTATAATGATAATAATTTCATGTATACATTTCAGAGTACATTTACACCTGCATTATCTCCGCAACTCTGTTGCCATATGGTGAGAGAATTATTAACCCCAATATGTTTGAAGACTGGAACTATCGTTGTAAATGGAATCTAGTAACTTACTGACAATGCTGTAGCAGTCTGTATTACTGTCTTATAATGATGCACTGAAGGATGTTTTAGACAGTCTAGAATGCACCTACATGATAAAATTCAAGTCCTGTGGATTTTGTGAATGCCTGGCCACAGAAGATTTGCTGATAAAACAAAATATGAGCATAATTCAAGTAATTGCATTATGATTGATTTAGGTCCAGCTGATCAGCAGGGAGTGAGAGTAGCCCCTTGGACTGCTATGGAGCAGCAACTGTTAGAGCAAGCTTTGAAAACATATCCTGCGTCAACACCTGAAAGATGGGACAGGATTGCTGAATGTCTTCCGACACGTTCTAAGAAAGATTGTATGAGAAGATATAAGGTACATAGTATCACATATAACACAATTAGTCAAGAGCTTACTGTCCAGAATATAACAAGGAAGTTGGCTTGATCCATCGTCTTGTCTATTTTTTAAAAAAAGAATTCTGTTTCTTTTTCAAAATAAGTTTCAGATACTGGATTCTGTCCCCGTCCTCCGAGGTAAAACCTACCCAGTTGGGTCAAGTAGATTAGTCTCTATCTCCGGAGATCCAACTGAGTAGGTTTTATCTGAGGACAGGGACAGAACCCAGTCTCCAAAATGTGTTTTGAAAAAGAAACAGGACTTTTTTTTAAAAAAAAATAGACAAGATGATGGATAATGTCCAAAAACATAATACTTGTAGCAATATACGATTGTCACAAACTTTTATATCTTAAGTTGACTCGAATTATACTGCTTCTGGCTTGTATTTTGGAGGTGCCTATTTCAAATAGCGGGGGGCACTGATTATTGCTAAATGAGGTTTTTCATGGTTTTCTTGCGTTCATCCATCCAGATGCATGGTTGTATCTTAAGTCAGGCCATGACCACAACCTTCCATGTGTTTTCCAATTCATTATTCACCAATAACCAGACTACAAATAAAAACCCTCCAGAATTTATGTATGCAAGTTGTTTGCTGCTCAAAATTACAAAAGAAAAAAAATAACTATTGCTATAATTGTAATTAATTCAGTACATTGTTTGCTTAGTTATAATCCTCTAAAAATTTCATTTCCTTCAGTGTTCTTTGCAGTAATATGTTAAATTGCGGGTTATATATTTAACTCGTGATATAATGGTTAAGATTACAGTCTTCTAGGATATTCTGCTGTGAAGAGTGAGGCAGCAGGTTGCTCCAAAACATTGGTACCTATCTGCCAAGCTACATAATGTCACACACAGAACAGCATAATCTTAATATTTCCTCCCATGAGAATCTCACATCTCATATATTGGCTAGTTTAAGCTTATGAATAAAAGTAAAGTAAAAACGTAAAAGTAAAGCTACCCCTGTACCAGGCCGTGGAGGCTCATACGGTTGTGAAACGTTGAGGGTTCCACATTATCTAGACAGTCAGCTAAAAGATGGTGGTAAGGTTGTCAGCCTTACGTGCTGGCTGCGCTTCATTCCCCAGGAAAATTATTTAATTAATTCCTGGTACTCATTTCTGTTAGAAGCTGAGTAAACCCCAGGGCCTAGTGTGGCTGGAAGGATTAGGTCAACTGAAAAAAAAAAAAAAACCCAATGACCTCATCGGGACTTGAATCCGTGACCTTCCGGCTTGTAGCATACCCCTTCAACCAACTACGCTACCGCTCTTACTAAATTAAAGTATTTTGTATTTTATTTGTATTCAGTGGCAGATTTTAAATATATTTGTAAGGAATAATTTGGAACAAACTTAAAATGAAAGGTAACTGTCTCATACACACATGAATTTAGTGAATTGATGAGCAGTTTAATTGCTTTGCTAAGGAGCCAAGCAATGCCTGGTGAGAGACTATAACCAGGTGTGCAGTGGATGAAATAACCTCATGTAATCTTCCACTGTAGAAAAAGAGAAATAACATACATTACAATTACATAAATCACCTGTAAGATTAATTTAAAACTTGAATTTGGCATGTGTTAAAATTTGGATGTATAGTGAATCCCTCATCTAGAAGGTTTTTTGAACATGAAACTGAAGAAAATCTTAAGTGAATGAAATTGAGCACTGGGATTATTGACTTTGGATCATTGAAATAGAACATTAAGTGAAGGAAAACATTACATTGAGGAACATTAAATGGTTTCTCTGTAACTGGAAGCTGAAACATAAGTTTAAGAACTGAGGTTTCTTAGACATTCATTAAATTAATCAGTCAAGTGAAGCAACCTTCACAGTTAGCCGTGAAAGTGTTGTCTGTTCAGTAGTGTGTGCTATGTTTGTAATTACACTGGCTGAGTGTCTAACCCAAATAAGAGTGTTAGTTTCCCCCATTTAGTGTGTTACTTAATTCCTGCTGAACTCTTCATCCTTGAATTCTTGGGAGGAACATAAAGTAATTTTGTGTTTCTTTTTCCTTACAGGAATTAGTGGAAATGGTGAAAGCCAAAAAGGCTGCCCAGGCTGCTGTTGGTTCAGGCAGTCAGAAGGCAAAATAACCCAGGATTGTTCCTATTTTATGTGGGAATTAAGTTAACAAACTTTGTTTTCAAACGAATTGCACTTTTTTGCTGTTTTTTTTTTGTGTATTTCACTATCTTCCCAGTATTTGAGAGTGATTAAGGGGGTGGGGGGATGAACCATACAGTAACATATCTTGGAACAGTGTGACATCTTGTGAGAAAAGGGAGGGCATACCATATTTAATCCTGGTGCAACTTCTAGTAATTTGGTGTTTGTGCTATAGCAGGCATTAAGTATGAGGGGGCTGGCTGTCAACACATAAGCTTGCTTCAGAGATGTGCTCTCACTCTGTCTAATGATTGTGTATACTCAGCGCAAGTTGCGTGATCTCAAGGAGTCTGTGTTGTTCATTCTTTCTCCTTATGTTGCTTAATAAATTGGCTTTAAAGTGTCTTTATAAATATTACTTGAATTGTAGTTTCGACAAAGATGTGTGGTTGATCCACTTGTATGCTGATGTTACAATCTATAACAGTGGCATGTTCAGATGAAGAAAAATTAACATGTGGTTAGTAACCAGGCTTTTTTTTTTAAAGAAAGAATTACTTGGTTCTTTCAGGAGTTCAGGGAAGTGTGTTATGATTACCCAACTTCATCATGGGTATACCACTGATTTTTACTTCAAATTAAAGCTGTAACTTATTTTCAAGAAACAATTTTTGTGTGTTCCTTTTTTGATTCGTGAATGACCAATTTTATACTGCACTGAATGTCATTGATGGGGTAAGATGGTGCAATTCAGCTGATTTCAAAGAAAAACAATATTTTGATTAGTTACTTCAAATGAAAGTGGATGGAAGACTAGGTATAAAGACATTCACCGCTTTCAGAGAATTTTATCAGCTGATAGTAATCTGAATAGGAAGATACAGTGAGACCTCCATATAAGGTTTTATCAGAGAACAGCAGATTTGAAAACTAAACTGATGAAAATCTTAAATAGAGAACATGTAACACTTAGGTTATCAGATTGGAATCACTGCAATTGAATGTTAGATGAAGGAAAATATTAAATTTATAAGTATTGTAACACAATGGGCAAATGCCAGAATTGCAAATTCAGAAAAAGACATCCTTTGCTAGGCGTTCTGTTGTAATGAACAACAGGAATTGTTGGAGGTGATGTTTTCTATGTGGATCAACTGGAGTTTTCAGTTGTGAGAGAGTGGAGTTCTTCCCAGGTTCTACACCAGGTTGTGATTAGATTTAGTGATTTGAATGAAACGCGTGTTGGACAGAGTGGTTTTTACAGATTTCCTTTTATGTAGTGTGTTCATGGCCAGCTCATGGCTGTCTCATTTTCCAAAGCCTGGGAAGGAAGCAGATTTATAACATTACAAATACCCAGTAAGGACCTGAAATTTACTCAGAATATACGACCGATTAGCCTCTTGTTTACAACAGGCAAGCAATTTGAGAAAGTTATTCTGAAAATATTCCAAAGGCACAGTGAAGAAAGAGTCCTGCTGAATGCAAGCCAGTTTGATTTGCATGTCCATCACAGCATGACGCTTCAATGTATGAGGCTTACAGACCAAGTCACCTTAAATGTCAACAGTAAAATGTTTATGGCTGCTGTATTCTTGGATATTGAAAAAGCCTTTGGTACAACATGGCACCTTGGCTTGCTATATAAATTATTGAAATTATAATTTTTGATCAGTTTTAATAAAGCTTATTAGCTCTTTTCTTTCTCAGAGAAGATTCAAAGTTTCAGTCGAAGGTGAAATACCTATGCCAAGGGATGTACAAGCAGGGGTGCCACAAGTTTGCACCTTGTCCCCTACATTGTACAACATATAAATAAATAATATCCCTCAAACATCTGATGTCTATCTGGGTCAATTCGCTGATGACACCTGTATATATGCGGCAGACCACAAAGAGAGTTATGTTCTCAGAAAAATTCAGTGAGGCCTCAGTGCTATTGCAAAATGGTATGAGCTCTGGAACATAGAAATCAATTGAGATAAGCCTCAAGCCATCTACTTTTCTCAAAGACTTAGGCCCCCCTGACGCTCGTCTTACACTGAATGAATGCAATATCCCCTGTGTCAGTCATGTAAAATATCTGAGTGTAATCTTCAATAAGATGATTACATGGAGACTTCACATAGAAATGGTTGAAGCCAAGGCCTTCAGAACATTATTAGAATCTACTCCCTATTCAAAAGTGAACGTTTAAGCGTCAGCATTAAACTAACCCATCATAAGGCACTGATCAGGTCAGTAATGACTTATGCTTGGTCCCCCCCTGTATTAGCGGGAGACATGTACCTCTTTAAATTGCAGTGCCTGCAAAACTCGTTTTTCTGCACCACTGGATATTTTCGAAGGTGCACACTGGTTCATGATTTCCACATGGCTTTCAACCTTTCATAGGTATATGATTATATAATAAAATTGTGCAGGTGACAAGCAGAAGTCATACAAAATCATGAGAATGAACATGTTCACAGTATAGGACAACGCAAAGCCAGACACAGAACATATAAGAGGCTTAAATTTGGCAGTAGTCAAACGTATGACCATACAAGTGACTGAGCTGTTGTTGTAGCATAAGATAAGTAAGATCAGCATGGTTTGCTTTGTAAAACCTGTACTGACAGTTGACTTGTATATAGTGCAGATGGAGGAGTTTTCAACATCATGCTATATGTGCAATACATACACTTGACGAAAGGCTAAGTATATTCATAAGAGACAAATGTATGTTCTAGTCAGAGAGGATGTTACATGAGGACTATTACTGCAAGGGTTGAGTTGAAAAAATCTCTGGTAATGGGTCTCGAGGAGCTTGGCGCCAAGACAAACTTATTGGCAGTAAACTGCCAGTTGTAAAGTAACTTTGACTTTGACATTGACTTTTTAGTTGGTCAAGAATGTGAGTGAGTTGCTGTCATATGTTAGCTGTGAGAGCAGCCAGCCAGCGAGAACAGGAGCCATTGAATGTGGAAGCTGAGATGTAACCTAGCAACTGCTAGTGAAGACGAACTGAGAAGAATTAGTGTGTGTGCTGTAGTGAACTGTGAAGTGTAGATTAGCAATAACGGTATAATTGCTTGTAGTTACAAGTCACAGATTTTGAGTAAATAGTTACCAGTCCAAATCCCATGTATGGTCACTAACACATGATATTAAATTGGGGTTTCACTGTATTCCCTACTCATGAATAACAGTTCAGACTGGTGAAACCTATCATTTGAAAGGAACTTTTTTTCATACTTTATTAGCAAAGTCCATGATGATTGTACTGCTGTCTTCTGCAGATATCTCTGTATCGTTACACTATATGCCATATTTAGGAGGTTCAGACTCTTTGAAATTGTGAAAAATATTCTGTGTTTTAAACCCAGTTTTGATACATGTTTTGTTACTGGGATAACACACGTGTGAATTTGTATTTTCATTTTCACATTACTTCTTATGTCACTTCAGTGCTTGTAAATACTTTTATAAAGTTTCATTCAGCTCAAAATTTATTGGGAACAATCTTTTTACAGTCCTGTACAAATTCCATGACAAAAACATTTGTAAAAACATTTCTATACATTTTTATACAAATCAATAATACAGTAGAAGAAATATCCATTTATCACCAGGGATAATTTCTTTCGATATTTAGTTAGATGGCTGGTCATGGATGGAGACCAACACCCCATCAGGTTCTCATCTTGCAGATAACTCACTTGACTTTGTTCATCAGCCAGCTGATGTACAGACAGTTTTGGTAGATTTCTGCCATCAAATTCACGTGCCAAGTAATGTTCAGTTCAGTTCCAATGGGCACATAACACAGCTTAAGAAAACTAGCTTCAATAGAATTTGAAATACCTCTGAAAATAAACAATCACTTTCTTGTGTGGTACATTTCACTCTGGGCATACAATTTGGCCTGAAGTTAGTAGTTTAACTATGTTGAAACACCAGGTATTTGCTAATCACAAACAGATGCTGGTGATCTTGGTTTCAAATGGTACCAATCTTTCCTCTTCTTCTTCTTCTGTTTGAATCTGCAAAGCTTCATTTAACATTCTGCACTATTATTTAGGAAGGTTCTTTCATTTCAATATATTTGAACATTAGACTGATATCTTGGATGGCCAGTTTCATACTTCCATATTGCAGACTTCCAAATTATTGAATGCTGGCATTCATGGTTAAGTAAACTTTAATTTTCTTAAAAGAAATCACACAAGAACATAATGTCATGAGGTGAGTTAGTTTTAAACGTTTGAACACACGCACTAAAATTTTCAGTGATAATAAATGTTCCAGTTTCAGCTGTACTTTCAGAGTAATGGAACAGTCATTTAAGTGGACAATAAAATTCCAAATTGATATTAGCTAAACATTCCACATTAAAAAAAATTTCCTTTCACTTTTCAGATCAGTATTTCCATAACTGTGCTTGTGCACAAGATATGTATTGCTGGACCTTTTTGCTTGTCCCCAAAACTTTCAGTTTTATTTAACACTTTAACATGAAATAAAACACATTAAAAAATTCTTTTCCACCTTTCTGTTTTAACATTCTACTCTTTAATATCCACTGGATTTTTATTCACCCAGGAAAACTATCCACAAAAGGTAAGAATTGGGCAAGTTTGAGAAACTGATGGTATGTTGAGTTTGACATTGTCTTCTCTGGAGTAGAAGTAGATGAGGCACTTGGTAATGCAAAATGAGACCGAGACCACGGAACTCAGCAGGAGATCCCTGCTTTTATGTGGGGCGCACTGCTATAAGTGAGGATCAGTATCACCTGATCCAGATTCAACCCCTGTCTCAGTCCCCACCCCTGCACCCACTCCAGCCATCTGGAAGGACAGTGGTCTCCCTTGACGCTCCTGCAGCAGCAACCGATGTGCCGCTCGATCCATTTCCTCCTGAGTCATGTCTAAAGCTTCCTGCATCTCACGAGATGTGTAACGTACAAAATCAGCATCACAGTATTTGCCAAGACCTTGCTCGACTAGCACCTGTAATCAGCAATGACTTGGTCAAAACATAATGTTGTGATGACAATAAGTAATGCATTTAGCATAAAATTATGCAACACTCACCCTGCCTACCAGGCTTTCAGCTGAACCAACTACCTCAGGGAAGTTGGGACGGCGGTCAGCTGGACTGCCAGGAAGAGAATGTGACAGGCGTTCTGTCCCCAGACTGCCATTGGACTCACCCGCTCGGGACACTGTGAATCAAATATCTGGTGCACACATCTGCCTTACCTATTCATGACTTAGGTGCTAACTCACAAGTTAATGCAGCATTGCATGCACACTTATATTATAAGCAACAAAGAATTAGTTGTGACTGTGGCCTGGATGTGAGGTGTTAGTGAGCAGAGTGGGATCTGACCTCTGCCATGGAAGGAAGCCCTGTGAGTGAGGGGGGAGCGTCGCTCATGTCCCTGGCATTCTGTCACCACCGTGCCGTCACCTGGCAGGAAACCAGCCACTGCCACAGCCATCACTTGGGCCTGGGCCAGCTTGAGCCCATCCGCTATCCGACTGAAGCTTGATGATGTCTCACGACCCATGCAGCCCAGACGGAACGAGCCCCCCCCAACTCCTCGTGGGACTCTCCGGGGAGGGGGCGTAGGGGGGGTCAGCTCGGGGCTGTATTCATCCTGCAGGCTGGAAGTCAGGTTATGATATTAGTAAGGAACCCATGCCAGCAGGCAAGTGAGCAAGAGTGTTAGCAAGTGAGCTGGGGAGGGGGCAGGCCAAGCGAGCCACGCAACATCACGTGACGCTTACCGTAATGGTTTGGGTGTAGAAACTGGCCCCCTCCGTGTTGGCTGAAATCGGTACAAGAACCAATATTGACATATCTAACAATAATGAATCATTATTTTATCTTTGAAATTACAGCTCAAGAAACTTAGGTAATAGTTCAATTTAAAACAGTACCACTATTCAACAACTGGACATGTTAATATGTTAGAAAATGGATGCTTACTCAATTACGTGGTAGGGGCTGAAAGTCTTCTCAGGGTCCCCATTAGAAACAGCAACAGTCAATGGACGTAATGGAATTGCCTCCTCTTCCTGCAAGCCTCCCCCTGTTTCTTGCATTGAAGTTGCACTGCAAAATGTAAATTGTATTCAGGTAAGACGTGTGTGCTAGCATAGCAGCCTGTAGGATTTGAATGTAATACTATTTCAGTAAATGGCTTACATACACTGCTAAGTAAAAAGTAAGTAAAGCTATCCCTGTAACAGGCTGTGAAAGCCCATAAGGTTGTGAGACGTTGAGGGTCCCACATTATCTAGACAATTGGCTCAGAGATGGCGGTAAGGTTGTCAGCCTTATGCACCGGCCGCCCTTTACTCCCCAGGAAAATTATTTAATTCCTGGTACTTACTACTATCTATGAGCCGATTGTCTACAAAAATGTGAGAACCTCAACATCTCACAACCCTATGGGCCTCCAAGGCCTGTAGAGGGATACATGTACTTTACTTTAGTATGAAAGAAAGGGGGTTCAGTACTTGAGTATTTATTTTATTGCTAGTGGGGTGGGACTAAATCCCTTGTACTGCGGCCACTTCTGGCCTATTGTACCAGCCCCAAATGATAGGTGAGGGTGACTGTGGAGCAATTGGTGGAATGACGATTGGCAGGGGAAACTGAAGTACTCTGAGAAAACCTGCCCCAGCACCACTTTGTCCACCACAAATCCCACTTGACCAGACCTGGGATTGAACCCGGGCCGCCGCAGTGGGAAGCCAGCAACTAACCGCTTGAGCTGTGGCGCGGCCACTCCAGTCAATCTTAGTCAAACTACAACTTTATGCTGTAAGTTAATCTGAGTAGATGAGTAATCTTTTTGGCGTTTTCCTGTTTGGTGAGTAGCTAGGGATGATTGATGCAGTACAATGTTTGTCTCTGAGGTTAGGATGACATGTTGATGTAGTGCAATTTGTGCCCCTGAAGACTGGTTCTAATGGTAGTGTGTGTTTCAGAGCAATGACTGACTGCTAACATCTGTGACATTTTCTAAGTCATACGTGTCCCCTGAGTAGTGCAAAATGAGCAACAAACCTGGCAAAGCTTCCCAAAAGGAAAGTGCAAACTTTTCAAGATGCAACAAAGAAAGAACTTGAGTGCTCTCTATTGGGAAGCAAGAAGCAAAATGGGTTAAATGATCCCAAATGCAGCCACTGGAAACAAACCAACCAACTGAAATCTTCTTTGTCTTAAGATAATTTGAATGTTATACTCTTACTCATGTTGTAAGTATTTTGCAGCATTAGAATGGTGTAGATCCATTAAAAAAATTAAAGAAAATACAACTGGCTTATCTCTGTTGCTGAAGATAAAAGCAAACTGTATTAAACAAAATGCAGGAAAGAAATAATGTGAGTTCCAGCATACTTAAATGTGATCTGTTCAGCTGTGTTGTTACATGTAATTTTATCATAATGTGCAAAGAGTGAAGGATATCAGAATAATAAGTTCTTTTTCATATACCATAAATCCCATATGATTCTAACACAGTACTGAGGTCCAAGGTAAGGAAGGGCTGAAGGGGTTATTATGCATCTTGATATTCATTTCACTCTCAACAGATTTTGATTTATTTCAATATAAAAAATCTCTGGTGAAAGACATGCAACAATAGTGAAATTATTTTCAATGACTATTTCAAATAGAATTAAAATTACTATACCTTGCAATATGTGGCATGAGGGTACTCTTGGTCATGCTGGTAATGTGATTCATGCCCTCAGTTACAGCATGCTGAATTGAGTTGTAAGGCAAGTAGTCGATTGAGTTGGTTGGAGATACCTGTATGAAAATCATCATAAATGGTGAACACTCTTTTATTGCAGAAATCTGAAAGTGTAACACAAGAAATATCCCTATATTTAAATTACTTTTTCATTCTCTGCTTATGTTTTAAATATTTCACATATTTCTCAAAGGTTAATGGAAATAGCCCTGTTTAAATGGGTTGGTAATGATGTGGATGAAAATGACATGTAAATGGTGGTGTATAAATTCACAGATATTATGTAATGCAGTGACTGTGGCCAATTTTAAGGCACATTTTCAGAATTGATCTAGCAGAATCCAGAAAACAACTTCCATTAAACATCAAGGATAGAACTCTGTATAATACGAGGGAGAGTCAGTAAATAGGTCACAAATTGATATAAAATGTAAAACATGTAATATTCAAACGTGGGGAAAACACTTATTTCTTGACCAACACTGATACACTTGTCCCATCACTTAGTAGTGTGTCAAAACCTGGAGCTCAGAAGTCTTTGCAGTGTTGTCTCAGCCACTTCTGCACTTCCGTTTCAACCTCTTCATCATCAGAGAAACGTTTGACACCAAAGTGTTTTTCTTTTTACCAGACCAAACAGATGGAAGTCACTAGGGGCCAAGTCTGGACTCTAAGGCGGATGTTCAAGAAGTTCCTACTGTAGTTCTTGAGTTCTCTCCTGGGTTGCTCTGGCATTATCATGATGAAGCAGTTCCCCTCTTGCCGGTTGGCCTGGACGTTTTCTGCAAACTGCATCCTGAAGCTTCAACAGAACTTCACAGTAAGCTGCACCAGGCTTCTGTAAATGGGCTAACAGTACTTTCTGAGAATTCCAAAACATGGTAAATATAAACTTCCCAGCTGATGGCATAACCTTAAACTTTTGGTTGAAGGTGAACTGTAATATTTCCATTGCATTGAAGCATGCTTTGATTTGCATTTGTAGCGATGCACCCATGATTTGACCCCAGTAACACTCCTGTAAGGCATATCTTCTCCTTAATCTGCATACCATTAAGAGCTGTAAGGAAAGACCCATTTAGTTCATTTTTTCTTCATTCTTCAGGTCTCTGGGCACCCACCATGTGCACATTTTCTGAAACTTCTAACAATATTGTGTTATGTTGTATGCTAAACCATGTGAACACCCTAGTGCAGTTGCAGAAAAAAATCACTGGATATTACTTTTATAAACAGAATTTTAAATTATTTTGGAATGGAAGTTGTTCTGTGGTGAACTGAATAAATTATTTTGAAGTTTTGAATTAAAAAAATTATTTGTGAACATTATCAGAATTTCTTAGGTATAATGAAGTAAAATGAAAATAATTACTTCTTCCTCTTCTCTTAGTCTTGCTTTATTTAATGATGCTATTTCAGCTGCTTAGGTATATTACCTGAAATGACTGAGGAGGGTCACTAAGAAGTTGGTCAATACACCCAACCTCTGATCAAGTACTGAACCCAGGACCTACTGAATATGATGCAGGATAGCTAACCACTTGGTCTTGATGTATAAATAAATAATGATAGTACATACCAAGGACATACTCAGAAATTAATTAAAGTTTCCAAACACATTCAGGAAATCTGGAAGAAATGTAAATCACATCTAGGTTTCTAGTTATAAGTTACAAATGAAACTTCTGCTGTTGATAGTGTAGTGCATTCTAGTGCTGATGAATCTATTGCTATATTCATCTTCATAATAGATTACTTACTTACTTACTCATGGAGCTGAGCCCTTCTGGAGGAGCTGCCAATTCTGCAGCTACTCAAGAATATCCCAGCATTTTATGGAACCCAAAGGTTCATTACCGTGTTCACAAGAGCCCTCCACTGGTCCATATCCTGAGCCAGATCTATCCAATCCATACCATCCCATACTATCTCTCTAAGATCCATTCTAATATTGTCCACCCACCTATGCCTTGGTCTTCCCTGTGGTCTCTTTCCTTCTGGCTTTCCCACCAATATCCTATACGCATTCCTCGTCTCCCCCATTCGTGCTACATGACCTGCCCATCTCATCCTCCTTGTCTTGATCATTCTAATTATACTTTGAGAAGAGTACAAGTTATGAAGCTCCTCATTATGCAGTTTTCTCCAACCTCCTGTCACTTCATCTCTCTTCGGTCCAAATATTCTCCTCAACACCCTGTTCCTTCCTTAATGTCAGAGACAAAGTTTCACACCCATACAGAACCACAGGCAAAATTATAGTTTTGTATATTCTAATTTTTATGTTTTTGGAAAATTGACGAGAAGACAAAAGGTTCTGGACTGAATGGTAGCAAGCATTACCTGAATTCAATCTCCTCTTGATTTCCTCCTGAATCAGGTTTTGATCTGTTATCGTTTGTTCCCGAATATCTGAACTGTGCCACATTTTCAAAACATAACAGATACTTATAAAAATCTGAAACACTGGTACCAGTGTATGCCAACCAGCAGCTGAAGACTAGAACTAATAACATTCTTGAAGTACAAGTCTATACCAGTAACACACGAGATTCTGAGGTGCAGTTTAATGCAAGAGAGTGAAGTGCACGTGTAAAAGTGTGATGCAGATGAAGTGCTGCCAACTGTGGTAGCAGATTCCACATTTCTGAGTGCATGATGTGTAAGCTTGAAGAGCCTTGTAGTGCATCTGATAAAAATGATGCAACAGACACACATCACCTCAACTGGAAGGAATGGTGTGTCACACTCTGGAAACTTGCAGAAAGAGATGGCAACCAATCGAAAGCAGATCACAACCATCTTGCACAAGGAGCTGGGTTAACAGGCAAGTGCCTGCCAGATGGGTGCCTCATCAGTTGACATACAACCACAAACATTTCACATGACATGCTTGACCACTCTCCCCAACTTACACCACTGAACTGTCATGGGGGTTGAGACATTTGACCCTAAGGCAAAACAAAAAAGCATGCAATGGAATCCACAATCCTTTGGTGAGTTGTAATGGGGACACCATTTCCTGTTTATAAGATTTAAATCAGTTCATAACCTTATAAGCTGTAAGTTAGTTTGGTCTTATTTGACTACTTCTGAACACAAATATTGTAGGAATGAAAAAATATGTTTCTGCATATCCAGAAGGAACTTAAAAAAATATTCAAGTACATATGGAAGGAAATAATTTGTAAACAATGATCATTTATGTATGTTCTAAATGTGCAAGAACTTCACTAATATAAGTGTACCAGCAGATGAAAACCACAACTTAGAACATGCTTCAGTAATGAAATCCTTACAAAGAATACTGTACGATTGATATGAGACTGTTAAATTTAAGGACCTCATGGCTGTGAATGTGAAGATTACAGTGTTCTGGGTTGTGGTGCCATGATACCTGCCACTGGTTGTATGTCATGACATCAGTTCTACACACAGATCTGTGCATTAGAAATGCAACTGCACACATACCAACCCATGGACAATCAGGCTCGACTCTTTGCCATATGAAATTGGTGTATAAATATAAATTATATATAATCAATACTGAATTAGCCAAACCCACAATAAACAAGGGAATGCAGTATTATACTTAAAAAATACCCAATGTTGTCCCTAAATGACACCCATAATGCATTGTGTTTAGTAACAGAAGTCTTGCCAGTTCAGCTACTGCTCCTTTAATCAAAGAGTCAACTAATCCACTTTTAAATTGCCTGTATTCTGGGTTGTGACACTGTGTAGCCTTCCCCGAAGATGGTAGCCACTTACAGGACTGATGTCATAGCCCAGAAGATCACAGTCTAATCTTCACTGCCATAAAACCTCAAATCTCATATCTCTGGGGTGAATTAAACTGAAATATTTGACAAGACAATTGTACAGTTCCATAGTTTTCCTTCTTATAGAAGCAAACCACAATCTGCCTACCTTTCTGAGATTCCTTCCTGGAACATCTAAGTGATTCATCTGCAACACAATATACATATATATATATATATAACATTTTACTGATCTATTAAGCTTCAAGTCCAGGACATTCAAGAGGTACAGCTGTATGTGTTGTTATGTGATTAATCCTTAGAGAACCAACCAGGAACATACTTGTATCTATCTAGTGCGTTTGGTGGGTTCACCCTGAATATACATTCAGCTCTGATGTGAACTACAGCCTGGTCACCCGGCCTATAGCCTAATTACTATAATGACTGAGCTATATGAGCACCAAGTTTCAAGTCCAACTGACAACATATACCTCATGCTGTGGTAAGAAATATAATGTAATGAGCTGTTTTCATATAATTTTCTTTATAAATCAACTACCAGATACCTCACAGTCAGGCTACCAAATTATTCACTGTACACATGCAAAATTACATAATTACTCTACATTCCATAATCAATTTTCAGTACAATATGCGACAGCTGACCATGGCTCTCTTTCTTTGCTTAGCAGAAGGAGTGCATTAAAAGGTGGTTCATGAACAGCTACAAGAAACTTCAGAAGTTCATTCACTGTTGGCTGATGAGTATCAGTTTTAGAACAATTTTAAATTGTAAAACTCAATTACAAAAAACATTTTAATTTTAATATTTATCATGTGTGTAAATTTAATAGCAGAAAGAGGATAGAGCCATTATCAGAGCAGGTGAAGTTATCAGTGTTCTTACTGGTCAGTTCCTCTAATGCTAATTTATATCTCCACTATCAAATTTAAACACACATTTCTATTGTTTCATCAGTTGTTTCCCTTGAATAATGTTTATGTACCCTTCATCACAATAATGTGGCATATACACCTGTTGCTGAGTGGTAACTGTAAACAGCAGCTGTTACTAGGTAACATCACTTACAAAATAATAATGGTGTTATGCAACCTATTTCTAAGCAATAAACCAGTAAACATGCCTCTATAATAACATATTTTTTGTTGGAAACGGTGTTTTCTATTCAGTCCATGCAAAGTGGTTATAAGGAAGACAACTACAGTTCAGCCAGTTCAGTTGAGCTCTGCAAGGGGGGCTGAGAAGATATGGCAACCCAGTGAGCTGTCAGTTGAAAGTCAGTCTAGGAAGTTGGTGTGAAATGCCTGCCAGCCTGCAGGGAGGCTGTGAAGACAGAACATGAGTGTGTGAAGGTGAAGAATCTCCACTGTTAGAAGCTGTTGGCAGGGAATGGCTGATGAAGACACAGCTGGCTGGAGAAAGACTTAGCATGTGCTGTGGTGATTTATAAAGTGTGGAGATTAGCGATAGTGCTGTAATTACTTGTAGTTCTGAATGGTGTGTCACAAACACACACATATGACAATAAGATCAGGGTTTTTAGCTTCAACATGACTGATGAGTTGGCAAGGGATATCTGTTTTCCTTAAGTATACCACAAGTACATTTCTTTCTTACTGTTCTTTCATGTGCTGTCAAGTCTTGGCTGCTTAGCATTACACGTAGCATTACGGTCTTTTGGAGCTAATTTCTACAGAGGACTATGCAATTTTTGGAACACTATTGTGTCATCAATATTAAATAAACTGGTTTGTGAATGTAACTGAATTCGTAACAGTGACAAGTGAGGATAAAACGGTCAATCATATGGAAGAAAAGAACTTTACTAACCCTAATGTTAGTATCATATGTAAATAAAATACAGTCCCTTAAAATAAGCAATATATACTCTGCACATTCCAGTTGGGTGGGCTACAAGCATGGGAACAAAAACCATAAATCTTACAAATAAATAAAGTATACAAGCAAGTTATTTTACAAATACTGAAAAACTGTAATTTTTTGTGTTGTATACTTTATCTACAGTTAACACTGTTAGGTGGATTCTTACTTTAATTTGTGTTGAGTTGACTTTTAATGATCTGGCACGGTGGAAACCTGCGTGACCTCGCCGCATTGATGACCAAACACTACCAAACAGTGAATGATTACGCTGAAACAGAAAATTAATTAAATTCATTTTCGTGGAAATTCTTTAAAGGATTTTTTCAGTCATCCTGAAGGAAAGTGCATTACTTTCATTCACAATACTTGGAGCTTCCTTGCTTGTTGCCATGCCATTTAAAATAAATTCTTGTGACAACACTGCTTTTCTCCTTGGTGGAAAGATGCGAGATTTCAGCATATTTTAAAGTCACAATTACAAAAACATTAACAAAAAAAAGTATTCTATCACTCACAAATTTCTGTGAACACTACATTTGTTCTCTCTTTGGAAAGTATAAACATGTGTAACATATCACAAGAAATGAGCCCAGAGAGTGGAAAGCATCACTCCAAATATCACTGTCCTTGACCAGCAGAATGTTAATTCATGCACTGAGTGGCAGAACAACCAGCTATCTTATGGCTTGATGTACAGTGAGTACTTTTCTCTTGAAAATGATAGCTGATAAAAAAGTTCAAGTTCAGATTGCAGTTCAGGACATTTAAAAACATCTACAGCAAATTTATTGCAGTTGCCTGTTTCTTTAAAGGACAGAATAGGTTTTTGTTTTGTTGTATAGTCTATTTATACATATAATATCAATAATGTATATGTATACTAAGATTAATTAATTCCATTTATGTAAGAGGTAACTGGAAAATGCATGAATATACTTCAATATCTAACTCAAATGCCAATATATGGTAAGAATATGTTGATAATATACTTGTTAGTATATGAGAGACTTTATGTGAATCTTCTATTAATTATATTTCCCCTTGTCCTATACAAATTTTACAATATTTATTATTTAAGGTTTTGCTGATTTAATATTCCATTTCTGTTTTCCTCAGTATCATAGTCAAATCCCCTGGACCCCACTGGAACACTTCACAGGGGATTTCAGTATAGAATTATACCCACTGCTAGGAGCTACTATGTATGAGGTAGTGCGGTTCTCAGCCATTAATTTTAAAATGATTGCAAACACATTTCCTTTAGAAAAGAACATATTCTGAGAAGGAATAAAATGTATATTTAATTTTTGTAAATAAAGCAGCATTCTCATGCACAGAAATATTGGGTTTTCGGACTTTACCCATCGTCCTGGTTTTAAGGTAACTAAGAAAAACACGACGTTTTTGGAAACTGGATCTGTTTCCATCCTCAGGTGAGGGAAAACGCCTATTCTGTTGGGTCCCTTAGAAAAAGCTAGCCTCAATCACTGGACAAGTCCTGCTTTCACCAGGTGATGCAGGATGGCACTGCCCACCATGACATTCCAAAGCTCACTACAATTCAATCTGTCAAGGGCTTTTCCATAAGGAACAAATGCTCAGTCAGCTGATATTTTAATCTTTCCTTGTTTCAGTATATTGACTAATTAGAATTTATTAAAGAAAGAAAAAATAATAATAATAAAATGAAGACTGGGACTGAAGATTTAAATCACAGACAAAATCCTCTGGCATATTACTTTAACAGCTGTGGTTACAAGAGTATGGAGTATATTTCATAATATCTTTGGGTGTTTTTTATTAATTTTTCAATAGGAAACAGAAAAATTAAAAGTTTCTTTATATATTAGATGTCCAACACAAAACTTTGCGACGGTGCTTCATATAAAGTAGACACAATAAACTGTCCAAATGAAACCTTTTCCAAGGCATTATAGGTAGGATTTAAATAATAAAAGCCATAAATATAGCTACTACAACAATCTGAACTGTTAAAGCGCCACAAGACTTCCTTACCCTGTGCATAGGTTCAGGATTGTCATCCATTAATTCCTCCAAATTTCCAGAGATTGCACGTTTCAATTCTGGACCTGCATCATGCAGAGTACGCAGTCCAGCCTGTTAAAAAAAGTATGTTTTAGTTTCATACCAATAAAAGAAATCAATGAACATTGAGCCACCCTGCAACAATTTCCACATTATTTCATATAAAACTTCACTCCATATTTAATACTGAAATTTGTTATTTCAAAACTGCATTTATTGCCATTGGTATTTTATTTTCTTTAGGGCCAGTGGTTTCTTACACTAACTTTTCTCAACTGAATTCATAAAATGTATCTTTGGTCTTCGTAATTAATAGTTAC